GTTTGTAGATGGCTCTTTCCTGCCACATCCTCATAAGTTGAAGGAACAAGGGATCTCTCTGGATACTCTAAGGGCTGGAATTCTGTTTGTAAGGGTCCCAACCTAATGATCTAATAATTTCTCTACATCTTGCTTTTTAATGCCATCACATTGTCAGAGGCAGATTTCAACTAAAGGATTTTAGGAGAGACACAAACCCCCAATTTTCTGGTAACAACATCTAAAACATCTCTCCTGTTGTCCAGAAGAGGTTTAGCTGACACATCATGGGGCACAGTAAGGTCTTTAAAGTTGCCTAATTCTGCAGGTACTTCTGTATAAGCAAATTAAGTCATGGACTCATGATCCCAAATAAACTGCCCGAAGTCGCCAAGCTCTTTAATGACATAGTTTACCCTAAAACTCACACTTAGAACTATCTGTTTTCACTGAATCCTCCTAATTTTGAGGAAGAGGAGGTTTTTAACCCTACTATGAAAACAATAAAATTCAGAGTCTGAGTGAACAATGAAAACAATGCTTTTGAGAAAAAGGGACTAAATCAGATTATGTTTACTGTTAGTGATGGTGTCATACAGAATAAAGTTGATTTTTTTAAATGACTCACTTTGCTTTTATGTTTTAACATTTATACCCAATATAATGAGACAACAATGGAGCCTTGTTGGAACATAGTATCTGAATGAACTATGGGAGGAGAACTCTGAGTGTGGTGTGAACACTAAGAAAACAAGACGAGAGTCTTGTGACCTCAGTTCCTTCAAAATATGGCATTGTTCTTGCAGTGTGTTTTGTGCTCCTCCCAGGAGTGGCACATAGGAGGAGTGGAGTCTGCCTCAGATTTCCTCATTATCTTACCATTGTTCCTGAGCCAACACAGCTTGTCCTTGTGATTTTTACAGCTTGGGATCATGTGCGCTTTGCTCATATGATGTTGCTGAACATTCAGATTACAAATAGTCTGATGCTCTAAAGTTAGCTATTGAATGAGACTTTAGTCTGCTTCATTTTTAAGCCCCATTCTCCTAGGTCCCATTGCCTCTAGAGTGGTGACAGAGGCTACTAATTATTCAATCTTAAATGGATTCTTTTACTCCATTTTAAATTCCTAGAGGAAATGTCATCTGGATAATTCCATTAAAATTTCTTACATTAAAAACAGGGCAGTGGTGGCACATGCTTTTAATCTCAGCACTCGGTAGGCAGAGCCAGGTGGATCTCTGTGAGTTCAAGGCCAGCCTGGTCTACAGAGTGAGATCCAGGAAAGGCGCAAAGCTATACAGAGAAACTCTGTCTCAAAAAACCAACCAACCAACCAACCAAACAAACAACAACAACAACAAAAAAAAAAAAAAAAAAAAAAACCAAAAAAATAATTCCAACGAATTGTGTTAAAGTGTTAATTTTTGACAATATCTTCTTATTTATTTTTAAGAAGGCCGTATATGAACATGCCTGCTTCATTTTGGCAGCTTGTCACATGTTTGTTCATATTATTTAACTTTATAATAATTTAAAATATTTATTTTAAAGGCACTGGCTTTGAAATCATGCTAATCATGCCTTATACTAAATTTATCTTTTTTTTAATGAGGAAACATTAAAGAGAATATAAGAATATTAAATATTAAAGAGAATATAAGGCGATCAAGAGTTACCACTGGATAAATGATGGAATTCTATTGTGTTTAGGATGTCACTGCTGTCTTTGTCTATTACATCAGAGCCCTCAAATTAACCTAATCTAAATAACTTCTGTTTAACTCAAGCCCCCAAATTAACCAAATTCAAACAACTTCTGTTTAACTTATTTGAGGTTGATAATTAAAAGTCTGTGCTTAGATAATCTTGAAGAAATCATGTAGCATGATTCTCTTCTGGAATATAAGCCACACAACCATGGTTGACACCTTTGCTAGGGTTAGAGAAGGCAGATGTCATGTGGCTTCACTGCCATCTTGACTAAGGCAACCACACAGTATAGGCTAACCTGGGAGACAACAGGTCTCCAAAAGTACTTTTAAACTGGGATGGATTTTTGTATAATTCCTGTCCTGCATTGAAAACAAGGCTTATAATGAAGAACCAAAACCGCACCTCCATACCTTTATATGCAAAAATGTACCTTGTGCTGGCAGCCAAACTTTATAACGTAAGAGTCACTAAAATGATATTCGTTTTAAGTTATGAAGGAGTCATGGGGTTTGCAAGTGTGTGATGGGGCTGGAGTTCCTAAAAAGAGCCCAGCTGCAGTGGGGAACCTTAACAGTTTTTGATTAAATTGTTTGCACTGTTGCAGCTTGGTTTTTTCCTTATCTAGATTATGATTGTGCCCTGTTTTTTTCCTCTTGAAGTAAAAAATTCTTTATTTTTGAGAGATTTTATACTTTTTTAAAGAGGAAATTTTGGAGTTTTATAAAACATTTAACTAAAATAACTGGATTTTTTTTCAAAGAATACCTTTTAAAAATGTTTTAACTAATAAGGCTATGGAGTACTTTAAATTTATAAAATATTTTTATTATAATGTCTTTATTAATATATAATCTTGATAAATAGATTAATAAAAGACTAAAACTTAGGGCCAGAGCTAAACACCTGAGACTGAGGTATTCCTATCTTCCTGCCTTGTACATGACCTCTGATAAGGAGTTGGAGAAGGGTCACAAGGTACCTTCTCCTTTTTATTTATTTATTTTATTTTTATCCTGGTGTGATTGAACTTCGGATGGCCTGGGAATTGAAGCTGGTTCCTCTGGAACATCAGTCAGTGATCTTAACTGCTGAGCCACAGAGCTATTAATAAAGTAATTCAGCCTATGAGCTCCCTACAGAATGGGATACTCTTGCCCTCTCTGCTACCCAAAGAATAGCTCATATTAGTTATTGACTCAAAAGACTGTTTACCAAACCTTTAAAAGAAAATGATAGAGAAAAATTTGCCTTCACAGTACCTAATTATAACAATTCCCAGCCAGTCAAGAGATATCAATGGAAGGTCATCCCATGGGGAATGCTAAATAGCCCCACCCTGTGCCAATATTTTATGCAAAAGCCATTGGAGATAATTTGTGTGGTTATATTTTATCATAATTTATCCTTATATGAATGATCTCTTATTGACTGATCCAAAGCTAGGTACCTTAGAAAGCATATTTGAAGAAGTAAAGAAAGTTTTGCCTTGCTGGGCACTACAAATTGCTCCTGAAAAAATACAAAGAGGAGATTATATTAATTACTTAGGATATAAGATAGAGCTATAAAAATTTAGACTCCAAAAGCCGGGCGTTGGTGGCGCACGCCTTTAATCCCAGCACTCGGGAGGCAGAGCCAGGCGGATCTCTGTGAGTTCGAGGCCAGCCTGGGCTACCAAGTGAGCTCCAGGAAAGGCGCAAAGCTACACAGAGAAACCCTGTCTTGAAAAACCAAAAAAAAAAAAAAAAAAAAAAAAATTTAGACTCCAAAAGGTACAACTCAGGGGAGATCAATTTCAGACTCTTAATGATTTTCAAAAATTATTAGGAAGAATTTCCAACTTACAGGGTATCATTGGAATATCTAAAGATGGACTAAAAAATTGGCTAGTACTCTAAAAGGGGACAAGGACTTAAATAGTCCAAGAGAAGTATCAGCTGAAGCTGAGAAGGAATTGATTCTAGTAGAAAAGACAATAGGCGAAGGGCATGTGGATTGTGTGAATCCAGAACTTAAATGCATTCTGGTCATACTCCCCTCCAGACACTCCCCCACAGGGATTTTGATGCAGAGGGAAGATATTATATTGGAATGGATATTTGTACCATGTAAACCAAGTAAAAAGTTAAAGATGTATATAGAAAAGATCTCTGATTTGATTCAAAAGGGAAAATTAAGACTTCACCAGTTGACAGAAATGGACCCAGCAGAAATTGTAGTAGGCAGGATCCAGGAGAAGGGACATGTGACCCTTCTCCATCTCCTTATCAGAGGTCATGTACAATGGCAGGAAACACTGTCTCCTTTGGGTATAGCCTAAGGTCATGGGTGGAGAAAATACCATTATACCTCTCCCTACCTAAGTTCTTTTCAGGCTAACAGAGACTGATTTAGTGATGTGTGTCTAACCTCCTTGCTTTTGCTAATATTGCTAAGCTATAGCTATTTTGGTAAACTGAGTCATGCAGAGAACTGTTATGTCTTATCATGATATACTATAAAAGGATCAGGAAAGTTCCCAGTCTCTTTGTGGACTGTGTTTGTTAGTTAAAACTCTTGGTATTAAAAGAGCTTCAATTTAGAAATTCATATTTTCTAAGGCTAAACTTAACAGGGATAAATCTATAAAATCCCAATCTTATAAAATGGTTAAAGATAATTAAGACATACAAGTTAATAGTCAAATTCTCTGATACATTCAGATTTAGCTTCTATATGTTTTCAAAGTTAAGCCTAAAACAAATCTAAAAACAAGCAACATTTGTCTACTTTAGATATGCTTAATAGATAATGATCCTCAAACACTTCAGATATCTGAGAGTATGGCATTTAAAATGTTATTAAAAAGCTTTTTGTGACAGACATGCTAACTCCTGAAGGCATTCCCATCTCCCCCAAAGAAGATGATGGGCACAGAAGAACTCCACCTGGAGCTTGTTTTAAATGTGGCAAAGCTGGCCACTGGGTGGAAAAACTGCCCTTCACTTCGACTGCTGCCAAGACCCTATCCAGACTGTGGACAAGCAGGACACTGGGGAACTGATTGTTCAGCTTTGCCTAGACAAAATAGGCCAGTCCCTCCAAGTTCCTATTCCACAGGAAAGTCTGTCAGATCTTCTGGACCTGGCAGCCAAAGATGGATGCTGCCTGGGACCTCTGACAGCAATAACGATGGAGGAACCTGGGGTAGCTATCTAGGTAGCTGATAAGTCTGTCATTTTTTTCCTTTTTTATTATTAAGAAATTTTCTATTCACTTTACATACCAAACACACTAAAAGGTATGTCTCAAATCTCTCCCTTTAGGGCTCAGTAAACACAGAGAAGAGGATGCAGAAAGAGTGCAATTGCCAGAGGTCTTAGAGGACATGAAGAAATCAAAGGCCTTGAAGTCGACAAGATCAAATCTCATATGAACTCTCAAAGACTGAAGCAGCAGCTCAGGAATTGCATGGGTCTGTACCAGGTCCTTTCCATATATATTGTGTTTCCAGTCCAGTGTTTTTATAGAATAGCTGTGTGTGTGAATGAGTGGGTCTCTGATTTTTGTGCCTTGTTTTGGGCTCTTTTTCTTCTGTTTGTTTGTCTTGTTCAACTCCAATGTGTCAGCTTTTGTTTTATCTTATATTTTATTTTATTACTGTCCCTTAGAGGCTTGTTTATTTTCTAATGAGAGATAGAAAAGAAGTGAATTGGTACAGGAGGGAACATGGGGAGGAACTGGGAGGAGTGGAGGGAAGGGAAACCCCAGTCAGGATATATTATGTGAGAAAAAAACTATCTTTAATAAAATAAAAATATGTAAAAAAAAGAATAATTTGGGAGTGTAGTGGGTAGCCATTCTAGCTTGGATCTGGAAGTTCCAACCCCCCATTGAGACTCTGGCAACTGTCACACCTACGAGGCGGGGCCAGGGGAGGCACCTGGAGACCTGAGATCTGGATGGGCCAGCACTCTCTCTGTGCCGGGACCCTGAACGGTGGAGGTGGACCAAGCAGAGCTCCAGAGAACACCGCTAGATTGCGATACACCTTCCCCAGACCCTGCAACCTACCTATCCCTTAATTTGTGAGTTACACCATTAAATAAATATCCTTTTAACTACGTGGAGAGGCCTTAATAATTTCACCAATATGGGAGTTAGAATTCAGACAATATATAATCACCATTCATCTTGGCCCACTGTATATACCTGCAATACAGTTCAAATGAATGAAATAAAAGACTACCCAGAAGAAATGAGGAATAATAGACTTAGCATTTTTATTCCTGTTAGTTATAGACACAGGCAAGAACAATACACACAGCTTGCCACAGCATACTAGAGCACAGCACATTGTCCCAATATTATGTTTAGTATACACCAGTAAATTCCTATGTAAGTGTATGTATGTAGGTATTTTTATCTTAGGTTGTTAAGTTGTTTTATTCCTCAGTTTCCCCTGAGTAATGAAAGGTTTTCATATTAATAGACACATAAATTTATCCCTCTATAAATACATATGCACATCACTATAAATATATAAATAGATGTGTGGATAAGATTGTATACATAGAAATAAATACTATATGGCTAAACACACATATGTCCATATAGTACTGTCAATTTTAAAATGGGGCATATATGCTTGTGATCCCTTCCATGCACATGCAACTTAAATATTTGTCCTCTGCCACTACTTCAGAGACAGCAAGACCTGGGAGAATGGAGCCAATAAATGAGGCAGACTGAAGTCTCATTCAATTCACATCTTTATCCAGAGCATCAGACAATTTCTGAAGGGTAAGAAAGTTCTTATGAGTCAAGTTCACATGAGTTTAAGCTGTATACAAAGACAAAGTCAGGCTAAGCCTGACAGAACATTTTTCCTTAGATACACAAGAAGGATGTAATGTACACATCATCTGATTATAATATTAACAAGGAGTCACAAGAAACCCGAAATAAGTCACTCCTTTCTGCTATGCCTGGAGGGAGCATGAAAACACATTCTAAGAACATTTCTGTGTTTTGAAGAAACTGAGTCAGAAGACCGTTGTCCTGTTTTCTTGGAGTGTTCCTATAAGCACTCAGAATTCTTCTTACATGTCTCCATTCCTGAGCCATGTTCTGACATCACCTCTTTTTTATTTTTTAAATCAGGCTATTCAGAGTGGTTTTGATTTGGGATGTACTAGATAACCTAATTGTCATTTGATACATGAATATCCTTATAAGTAAGCAAAATCATGAACACAATGAATAATATTAGATCAGAGAAAGCACTTTGCTACCACCACCAAGAATCTTTACTTTTCACCTTGACAGTTAGACCACAATTTAAAGCCAAATTTGAAGTAAATTTTAATTAAATACTGGCCAGGTGGATGAGCTCTGGCCAGGTCTATCTCTAGGTTTCCAGAAGATGGTCCAGACTCAAGTATGGCAAGGGCTTAAGAAGGAAAACCCATAATTCATTGTATTTCCCCTCAGGTCCAATCAAGGCAAGCCTATATCCTGACATATTTTCTGCCTAAGTACCTCCCACCCACATATAATCAGTGCAGGTGGGTCAAACAAACTTGTTCAGGGAAGTGAAAACATGTAGCTTGTTATCTCTCATGAACAATAGCCTCCAGCATTTCATGAACTATCTGTCCTTGGGCAAGTAGCTTGCAGATCAGGGGCATTTTTATTACGTGGATCTCTTAGGCATTAAAACTTAAAATGTAACTTTGGCTCTCATGAACACTCCTGGAATGTTTACTATGCCCCGTGTCCTGCAACTTCCTTTGACCTTCTCAGAGCCTTTTCGCCACTGGACATGATATTGTTGCCCATTATATTTTGTCCATATTCAAAACTTTGCACATGTCTTTTGCATCCAGGCTTTTTGTCTGGTATTTTCACTAGGATTTTTCACCTGGACTTTTGTGAAGTCTTTGTTACAGGTTTTTGTGCCCTGATTATTTCCATGGATTTTTCTTCTGGATTTTTGGCCAAGTCTTTTTGCCTGGCATTTTCACCTGGACTTGGTGCCTGGATTTTTGCTTTGCTTTTGGTACTGGTCTTGGCCCAGATTTTTCTCCTAGACTTTTGGCCTAGCCTTTTTGCATAGCCTTTTTGCTGAGCATTTTGACTAGGATTTTCAACCAGCCTTTGTGCATGGACTTTGCCACTCCCTTCACTCTCAGCTTTTGTTTCTGGCTTTTTTGCCTGGATTTTTCTTCTGTATTTTTGGTCTGGCCCTTTTGCCTGTTCTTTGTGACTGGACTTTTCACTTAGCTTTTGTGCCTGCATTAGAAAAATGGTAGCAAAGGACAAAAGTTCAGATCAAGTACTCTTCTTATTCAACTTAGGTGAAGAAATGAATACTGTACTGCATATTTTATTTAATTTATGTACATTCATGTTATAAATGTTTATGTATTATTCGTGTTTGTGCAGCACAGGCATACAGTGCCCACATATGTCTGAAGAGGACATTGAATATCCTGGAACTGGAGTTAAAGACAGTTTTTAGCCACTATTTGGGGTCTGAAAACTGAACCAGTAGTGTCCTTTAGATGCATATTTAAAGCATGGTTGAGGATATACATTTCAGCTCTTTACAATTTGTGTCAAAAGAGACATTTGTAAACTCTGTTTTTATTATATTTTGATTTTCCTGGCCAGGCTTGCTTTGTATAGCCCTGGCTGTCCTAGAACTTACTCTGTAGCCCTGGCTGGCATCAAGCTCAGAGATCTGCTTGCCCCTGTCTCCAGAGTGCTAGGATGTAAGGTGTGCAAAATTACCACCTTTTAAAAATTACTCAAGAGCTTATCTTTTAAAATGACAGATACCCAACTCTTTGGGTAGATGAGCCAGACTGACTTCTGAGAGATCTAGGCAACTCAAATTGGTTCTCTTTCTGCAGCAACAAATATTTTTAGGAGAGCAATACTTGTAAGAGATCAAGACTTTTAGAGTGTACATTCCACTGTGTATAACTGTTCTGGATATTGGGAATGGGGATACAGACCTTACACACATCAGGCCTAGTCCATTTGGGATTAGGAGAAGCATGAATATATTCTACAAACTGTCCATGCAGATGCACTGTTAGAATGTTTGCTGTGCCCCACACCCTGCAACTTCTTTTGACTGTCTCTGAGCTGAGCCCTTCCACCACTGACCCATGATGCCCCATTCAGTTCTGAGACCTTTGGAAGAAAGATACCAAAGGTCAAGTCCTTGGAAGAAGTATCTGCAACCACAAATTAATTTTTTTACATTTTTGAAATTAAGTTATATCATTTACTACAGTTTGTGTTCCTTTTTTGTTATTCAGTTAATATTATTTTAATTTCTTCATAAGTCTAATTCATTTTACATTTTGGGTATAGCATGCAGAGAAATAGGTTTCATTCTCACAATTTCATACATACAAAACATTGCACTTTATCCTTATTCACAACTTTGTACTCAACCTTTCCACCTGACATTTCACTAGAGTTTTTCACCTGGTTTTTATGCCTACACTTTTCACTTACCCTTAGTTCCTGGCTTTTGTACACCTAATTTTTGCCTAGATTTTTCTCCTAGATTTTTTTTTTCAAGATGGCTTTCTCTGTGTAGCTTTGGAAGCCTATTCTGGAACTCACTTTGTAGATCAGGCTGGCCTTGAACTCACAGAGATCCACCTGACTCTCGGCCTCCCGAGTACTGGGATTAAAGGCGTGGCTGCCACCACCACCACCACCACCACCACCACCATCACCACCACCACAGTCTTCTAGAGTTTTGGCCTGGCTTTTTCACCTGGCCTTCTAGCCTGGCCTCTGTCTTGGCTTTTTGTCTGGCCTTTTTTTGCCTTTTTGCCTAACTGTTCACCTTTTATTTTAACCAAAACAAAATTACATCCATAGTCAAGTGTGGTGCCAAATCCCAGCACCAAAAAGGAAGAGGCAGGAAAATCTCTGAGGTCAAGCCAGTCTGGTTCCAGGACAGTGAGGGCTACATATTGAGACCCTAACTTAAAACAAAAATTTAACAAATATTTATCTGTATGTGTACATGCCACAACCTGAGTGTGGAATTCAGAAGACAACTTTCAGGAGTGGGTCCTCTCCTTCCATGCTCACACTCAGCTCATTAGGCATGGCTATAACTGATTTTATCTTCTGAGCCATCTCAATAGCCCTTATTTATTTAGAACCTGCAGGATAAATCTTACCAATAAGATACATTACAAAAGGAAGGAGGCCCAAGGTTCAATCTCTAGTTTTAAAACTAACAAAAAAGTATCGAATGATTGTTTGAATAAGTAATAATGAGGTAATTTTTATATTTTGGCTACATAAATGATACAATACAATATAATAATACAATCAAGAAGGTTATTTAGAAGTTACAATGACAAGAAAGGGTAAATTATATTTTAAGGGAAAATTCAGGCTTTCGAGCTATATGCATAATGACTTTATAAATTAAAGAAGTAAAGCTGGATGATGATAAGACTGTGGTTTGTATTTGTTTTCTTCATAATATAACCACATATATAGTTTATACAATGACAAAAATATAAAAAAATTTCTTCAATGAGTATAAATTGCTTTTAGTAATAAGAAATAACAGATGTCATAGAGAACAGCATTAAAGTTTATAAGCTCCAGTGAATAAATGATAAAATCAGAAGGGCAGCCTTCCTGTGGAAGTCTGTACTTTAACCAGTTCAAAGCTTGATGCAATGGGAAAGTGGGAGAAAAGATTACTGAGAGGGCCATGAAAGGCTCATGATTGGTCCAAAATAGGCCAGTAATTGGCCTGTGATAGGCCTGTGATAGGCCTGTGATTGACTTATGGAGTCTGCACTTGGGCCAGACCTGAAAACAACAGTAAGTAGATTCCCAGCTCAAGCTTTCTTTCCAATTCACTCCAGGAAGCCAAGGCTTAGGGAACTACATGAGTCATGTTTTAACTTCTTTGGGACAAGCCTCAGTGACACAGAAGACAATACTTTATTCAGAGAAGCATAAAAATAGACACTCAGGGACACATCATCAATGGTGTTGGTGGCATGAATTATATTTTTGTTTAATTCTTTGAATTGCAATTTCCCTTTCAACCAAATCACTCCCAAAATACTGATTCTGTCAAGAGCTGAGGGTCATTCCTGTACCCTTAAGGATTAATAGTGTAGCTAGGGTGGATCCCAGGGAAGAGCATTAGGGTGTGAGTACAAACCTGAAAACACAAAATGCAAGAATAAAGCCCATAGATAAGAGTTGATAAAGTCAGTTAACTAGCTTGGGGTAAATCAATGTAAAGTAAAACTAAAAAGCCATTAAAGTGATAATTTGCATATTTATTAACTGATATCATGTATTTAGTGAAAAATTAAGAATTATGTTATAAGTGACATTCTAATACTTACATAATCATATAATCTATAGATATTAAAGAATCTGTATGTGTGACTATGTGGTGGTGTGACTGTATGGCCCCTATAGGCTCACATATTTGAATGCTTATTAACCAAGGAATGACAATATTTAAAAGGATTGAAAATTGAAAATTGAATGTGGCCTTTTTGGAAGAAGTGTGTCACTGGGGTGGCCTTTGAGATTCAAAAGCCCAAGCCAGGCCAAGTGTCACTTCTGATGGATCAGGATGTAGTTCTCATCTACTGCTCCAGTGTCTGCCTGCATGCTGCCATGATGATACTAGACTAAACCTCTGAGTCTGTAAGCAAGGCTCTAATTGCTTTCTCTGAAGA